TTGATTATCTCTGCTCTGTCACCTGTCCACCTGAAGCAAGCAGGTGGTGGGCAGGGCTAAAGGCCTGATCCACATTTCTCAATCAGGAAGTAAGAGTAAGAGCTTCAGACCCAGTTTTGATTTTTTTTCACATTTTATGTGGGAAAACCATGTTAAATTAAATATGAATCACAGTAGGATTTTACATAGTTCAAAACACGTCTGGAGAGGAACTTAAAGACATTTGGTCCATTGGTGCAATCTCTTTCTTCCCCTCATCCTCAATCTTTCTCTTCCCAACCACAGGTGTAGTGCTGCTGGAGCGCACTGGAATGAAGCTCCGCTACTTTTTTTCTTCCCTGTAAATACATCCATCTTTCCAAGATGCATACGATCACACAGAGGACATAAGGAGCTGCTGTCACATTTACCTGATCCCTGATCAGTGCAACCACTGAAAAGAGCAGAGCAGAGATCTGTGGATAACAGCAGTGTGTGAGCGAAGACAAGCAAAACTTTAGTCTTACTCACTCTCAGTCCATCCATGAGCGTCGTCCATGTGTTCATGTTAGTTTATAGGTGTGGATGAGATGTGTTCAGCTGTAACATGTTGTTAACATGTTGTTAAAATGTACAGCATAACAACTTAGAAATAACAACTCTTAAATTTATATATTTCTTCAGTAATTGTGAAAAATAGTAAGAGCCTGATGTTGATTGGTTCTAGCAAAATTAAGAGTATTAATTAGTAATTAGAGTTAATTTGCCACAAGATAAAGCTAGAATATTCAGTTATACTCATAGAGTTTCACTGAACTATACAATAAAAAATGAAAAAAGCCACAAAAAATGAATTATAACACTATACAGTACACTGACACACTATAGTTTACAGTGTATGATACTAACATACAATGTCAGTGTCATTTGGACGTTGGAAACTACTTTTTGCAAATGCAAACAAAATTTGAAGGCAGAGTGAAGGGGAAGTACAGAGTTGAAGAGGTCTGTGGAGTGGAGTGGCTGTGCAGACTGGAGGCTGGTGTCATGTTACCTCTGATTGGTGGAGATGAATTCAAGCTCATGGGAGCAGCTGTAATTACCTAGAGTCTGGGAGGATATGGAGGCAGAGATGAAGTTGGCTTCAACCTGCACGACCAGCAGAGACCAACACTGATGTCTGTCTGTGTGTATCAAATCAATTTACACGTATCTGTTTGGACAATTAAACAACATGAGGTGAACAGAAAATAAATTAACAAATTAACCTCCATAGCTCTTATGTTGGTGAGTTTCATGTGCTGGAAGCGACAAGTCTTTCCTAAAGGTTGATTGGATGGGAATCTTTAAAGTCCGGTTTCGAGGAATGTCTCTAGTATACATTTTTTATATCTACCATATGCTTTGAATTCTTCATGCAGAGGGTGGTGTTTATCTGAGGCTGGACTCAGTTTCCTCCAGTCTGAGATCACAGATTACAGACTCACTACTCTCAGACGACTTTGGAGGCCCTGTCAGGGCTTTTTTGTGTGTTACGTTATTATGAAATGAAAAGGTTTTGTTCTTGTAGAGTTTCACTTCTGGCAGTGATCATATGCCTGAAAACATTTGTACTAAAGTACAGCAGAAGGTGCAAAAGTCTGATTAGTGTCCCATAGAAACTGCAATGTGCATTACAGTCACAATATGACATCATATTTGTTGGACACAACAAACAACAGACTGATTTATCTGAAGGATTCATCCTCTTTGGACCAGGAATATGATGATATACTGTGTTTTGAAAGTTGACATCATGGCCACCTTGGTGGGTTACATAAATCCTGCCCTTCATTTTCACCAATGACTGATGAAGGGGAAGTCAAGTCAATTTTTATTTGTAAAGCACCAAATCAAAACAGAAGTTATCTCAGTTTTCTCACTTTTCATAAAGAGCAGGGTTATAATATTTTATAATATTAATTACAAAGTCCCAATAATTCCCACCATGAGCAGCACGTGGCATGGATGAGCAAGCACATAAGCATTCAGGCACACAGCCAACAACAACGAGTTAGATAGATAGATAGATAGATAGATAGATAGATAGATAGATAGATAGATAGATAGATAGATAGATAGATAGATAGATAGATAGATACTTTATTTATCCCCTAGGGGAAATTCATGTGTCCATTTGCTCATTGTTGATAAAAATAATAACAATAAAAACAACAGAAATGTAAGGTTCATCAGAGGAACAGCCAACACTCATTAATCTTACTAATGAGTTACTACCATTTAATGAGTTACTACAAGTCTCTCTTTTACCAGTTATAAATACAAGTAAGTCATTAGTAAGATTAATGAGTAGTAAGCATTAACCTGATCTTGCCAAATAGTGAGCCTGCATCAGTGTATGAATGTATTGTTTATTTATGATTTATAAAGTGTTAACAAGCTTATTAATAACCTATTTATAAACCATTCATAAATCCTTTACAAGGATAGTCTGATTGTAAAGTGGTGCCCTAAGAGTAATATAAAGGAGGAAGAGCAGAGAGCAGCTCTCACGAACAGATGAACAGAGGTTGTGACATGACATTGAAAAGGTCAAGAGCCATAACAATTCTTATGTAATTATGCTGTGTAGATCACAGGTGTATGTACAGCACATAAACTGTTTCAGCAAACCAGCAGCTGTTAAGGTTTCTTACACTGGTTAGATATTAAGCTTTAGTCTCTCTAGTGAGGTTAGAGACCAAGCCAATGAATTCTACCCTACATCTGTATAATGACCTGGCTGCATAAGATAGATCAGTGTTTGGGTGCACAAATAATACTCTTTCCTCGGTGGCCAAAACTGAAATTACCAGTCATGTGTGACAGAGATGTAGCACAGTGGTGGAACAGAAACTTAATCATTTCAGATACGTTCTAAGAATACTTGATGAAGCTGGTGGTGAACTGTGTTTCAGTGTAGATTTCTCTGCTGAGTACATCAGTTATGTGTCTGTAGAAAATATTACTGCTGTTCTGAATTCCTGGACCCCTTCCTGTGATTAATGTCTTTCTGGAGGAAAAGAGCCTCATCTCTCCTCTCTAGCTCCATCGCTACCTTGACCTCCTTCCTCCTCTCCTTCTTCTCCCCTTCGTCTTTTTCATCCCCCTTCTTCAGATTTCCCCTATTCGCTGCTTTCTCTTCCCTCCTTCCTCTTTCCTATCTCACCACTGGTGTCCAAAAGTTTTTGGCTCCACGCTGTGATAAACGTTTGTCAGAGAACCTAACAGCTGAAGAGTCTCCACCTCCACCATCCCCCTTTTCCTCTGGTGTCTCCTCTTTCTTCGTCATCTGGGCAACATTTCGTGTTCCTCCTCAGCTCCTCTTTTCAACAGTTGAGGAGTTTCACCTCTCCTCCATCATCTCCAGGATCGTGCTTGATAATTGACAAAATTCCTTTATTCCATTTCTTTCTCTTCCATCTTCAAGACAGCTTCACTTTCTTTCCGTCTTCATCTCCTCTGTAACTCTTTTTTCTTTGTCCTCTTTGATTCCTCCCTCTCTTTGTTCACATTGTGATAAATGTTAATTTCTCTGATCTTGTCAGTTTCTTTCTTTCTTCCCTGAACTTGTAATGAATGTCTGTCAAAGCTCCAAACAGCTGTGGAGTCTTTTTCCTCCATTGTCCCATCATAATCTCCTCAATCTGTCTTTTTTTTCCTCCTCTTCTTCCATCATTTCCTCACCTCTCTTCAATCCCTCCTTCCTTCGTGTCCTGATGAATGTTCATCAGAGTCGAGGAGTTCCCCCTCACCTCCTGCTGCTCCATCATCATCTAGACCTCCTCCTCCCTTCCTTTGTTCCTAGTTTCTTCTTCTTAAGAAATGTCCCTCCTCCTGTCTTCATGTTGTGATAAATGTTCATCAAAGGAGTCTACAGCTGAACTCTCACCCTCTTTTGATGTTTGTCATCTTACCTGAATATCCATCCCCCTTCCTCCAGTGTCGGTAGATTCTGATTCTGGTTCTGTTTATAAAGGTCTTATTGGACCCTGGATCAGATTTTTAGTCATATTATTTGAGGTAGAAAAGAAACCAAAATATAAACATGTAGATTCAGACTGCCCTAAAGTCTCATTTGTCATAAATGAAGAAGCATTTAATTATTTTGTATCTTTGTGTTGGATCACAAAGCACCAAAGACGAATTCTAAAAAAGTCTCAACAATAATATAAGAAAAAAAACAAAAATTGTTTTGCCAGTGCAGTGCTTTGTTGCATGACATTGCATCACATTTCAATAAAAGTTGACCCAGGTTGATCCAGGCCATTTTTGTGTAGTTACCAACTGAAACTACAACAATAAAAGGAAAGGAATTATTCATACTTATTTTACCATTGCTTCTCGATCGTAACTTTGACCAGCCCCATCCCCTTTTTCTTTCATCCTGGCTATTGTGAAGTCATGTCCAGACAGTTAATTTTTTCTTTGTGAATTGCATTTGCAAAAGTCAAAGGCAGCCATTGCTCAATGGTCACACATTTACATCATCATCATAGTTAAACCTCCTAAATCTCTATTATCATACTTAGGCAATTATTGTTTACACAACCAAAGTATTCCAGCACTTTCCCATGAATAGTGGGGCATTTCATTTTTCTGGCATGTGACTTTTTGTATTTGTTTTGTATTTTGTTATCATTTTGTGTCACATGTATGTTGTCAATTAGATTTTTTTATTTTTTTTTTTTACAAATTAGTTTGAGTCACTTTTTCTAAATAGCTTTTTCTCCCTCAGGTAGCTTTGCTGTCGTTCAACTTCTTCCAGTGTGAAGTAATTGGTAGCTTTTTAAGTAGCTTCACCAACTCTTGAAGATGGTATAATCAAGTTGTGGAAACAAGTTAAAAGCAATTTTTTTTTCTTGATCTGGGGACTCAGCAATAAGTAGGATCACAATTATGTTGGTACAGTAACAGTATTGTTATTCTAATGTAATAATCTCTCTCTCTCTCTCTCTCTCTCTCCCTCTCTCTCTCCACAGCTCAGTGGCAGTACTGAGGGAGTGCATGAAGAACGAAAGTCTGGTTCATTTCTTCCAGGAGCGACAGATGACTCTGAACCATTCATTACCTCTGGAGACGTACCTGCTCAAACCAGTGCAGAGAATCCTCAAGTACCACCTGCTACTACAGGTGATACTGCAAATACTACCAAATACTACATGTAGAACCTCAAGTACCACCTGCTACTACAGGTGATACTGCAAATACTACCAAATACTACATGGAGTATATAAAACTACAGGTAACTCCTGAAATACTATATTAATGACTTCAAATACCACCTGCCAAAACAGCAAATATGCCATATACTACCCACTTCTCCAAGTATTACTGAAAATACCCCCAAATGAGACAGATATTACCTTAAGTTAACACAAAATCCCACCTGCTCCTACAGGTAACATCTGAAATACTACATGCAGACTATAAGTGCTGATGAGTGTGAAACATCTTGAGTTCTGTGAAGACTCAATGAGGCTGAGAGATTTCCCAGAGGAAGCTGATGGATTTGGTATCTAGGCAACATGTCTGTATCCTGTCAGTAAACAGAGCCTTTGGCTAAAATCACACAGTGATAAAACTCCCCCTCCTCTGAGTGAGACATATGCAGCAGAGACAGAGGACAGCCGAGGACACGGACTCCTAAGCATGTGCCTCTTTGATTTTACAGATGAAGGCTACATGAGTGTGTGTGTGTCCCACATGTGTGTTTTGTTGTCAACTCACATCTGTCGGGTTTTACTGTCGTCAGAGCTCAGGACCAATGAAACAAGGATAAGACCGTGACGTCATCATGTCAGATGGAGGCCACCTAAAAATTGCAGTGTTAACTGAAGAGAAATGTGTTACACAGAGTTTCCCAGTAGTAAGATATGACCAGATAAACTAATAACTGTTCCAGACACACAAACAGAAACAAACTCAAACATGCACACATAAACACAATACACGTGAACGGACTGTGCTAACCTCATCCCACTGCTCACATTTTGTTTTTTTTCCAGTTAAAGCTCCATATTTTCCTCTTGTCCTGTGTTTTATTGGAAGTGTTGATCCATAAGAAGATATATTTGTGGTTATAAAACCCAAAAACCATCTCAATGTAGTTTTACATCTCCTCTCTCAGGCTTCTCTCTAGAGCTCTATTAACAACAGAAGAGAGGAGGCTCTGAACCTCTCTTCTGATTGGCTGACTGTTTTCTAAGTGATCCAATAAAAATATAGCAGATTTCAAGTAAACACTCAGAGAAACCAAATCCTGCAAGGTTGGATAGTGGGTCTAGCTTGGCGGGGCTTGGGGCATGGCTGAGAGCGGTGACTGTTTTGTTATGACATCACAAAGTTCCAGAAGTCCTGATGGCTGGTTTTGGCTCAGTTTCTGAATACAGGCTGTGTGTATTTCTCTGTGGACTGAGCACTTTGATAATTTCACAGTATTAATATAGGAACCTAGACCTGCTTTATAATCAAACTACACATGGACATCTACCCTTAGACTATATGGAGCTTTAAATTTTGCAGGTAAGCCACATCTCTACTCCATCGGTTGAAAAGAGATGCAGCCAATGCAACTGTCTCCTAGAGATGAATTTTAGATTCTAAAAACAGGAAATACTGAAGAAAACATAATGACACCAAAATTATGTTTTTTATCAACATAACTGACAACTTGTTTTCTGTGGCAAGTCAAAAAATGTTGACACTGAATCTATCTTCACATTGTTCACTGACAAAATGGATACTGATAACAATTAATGCATTATCAAGTGTTTTTATGGTGTGCGTGTAGCACTTCCTTCAATAGATAACATATTCCCACTAAACATAATTCAGGCAGTAGGAACATTTCAAGGAGACAGAGTTGACTGGTAAGGATAAAAAGAAGGATTCTTGCTGCAGCAGATCTACAGTGAAAGTCCTTTACACAAAGATTATACAAAATACAACAGATTATTACACAGAATTTGATAGAAAATCATCAGAAGTTTCCTTAAAGTGACTTATTTAACTCAGATACTCAATAGTAAAGGATCAGAGGCTGAAAGTAAATTATATTTGGACACCCCTTCTTTTGGCAGGACCCTGTCTTCAAGGCCCCCCCTGACCCTTTGGGCCCCAGGGCTGGGAAATAATCATCCATGATCAGATTTTATATATAACTACATCTTTAATAAATTGCACCTGTCACTTGAATCATAAGCTTGATCAAAACTTTTTCAAACATCTTAACACTAGCATCTGAGGACATGGAGCTGATGGTCTCATCTATGAAACAGACAACACACACACACACACACACACACACACACACACACACAAACATTCAAGCTGAAAGATAGGAGCACACAAATTTAAAGAAACACACACTTACACAAGGACCCACATTTGCAGCTTTTCCCAATAAACTTGTTGAATTTCTTCACTGGTTTCAGTCCAAGCCCACCTCTGAGAGGAGAATGATGAAACTGAGAGCAACTAACACACACACACACACACACACACACACACACACACACACACACACACACACACACAGCTTTGTCTTCATGTGTTCAGAGGACATTACAACCTTACTCTAACCTTAAAACTTGTCTTCACCTTAGAATTTAATAATTTACGTTAGAGGACTTGCTTTTTGCCCCTATAAGGAAGACAAGTGCACACACACACACACACACACACACGCACGCACACACACACACACACACACACACACACACACACACACACACACACACACACACACACACACACACACACTGTCTCTTGAAGCCTGCTCTTTGTTCTCTGATGTGTGCCCTGTATTATTTGCTGTTGTTGCTGCTCTGTCTACAGTGGCCTTCACTGGTCAAACATATGTTTGGATCTGTGCTGGGATTTTCCCATAATCCTCAGCTGGTCCTGCTTCAATCATTTCTGTGATGAAGTGCTGCATCAGCCAGTGAGGTGCTGATTGTTTTGTTGTGTTTTATTCTTCTTTCTATCCATTACTTCAAAAAAAAAAAAAAAAAACTTTGTACACTGTAAGTGTTTCCATGTGTTTGAAATAAATTTGATTTGTCTCTCTATTGAGCTTTTGTCAGACAAACACCTGCTAGTTCATGTTGTGGAAAGTTTCCATGTTGCTCTCATGTCTGAATTTTACACTGAAGCCGTTCTGTCTTCTCTCAGGAACTTTCCAAGCACTTTGATAAAAGTGCCCCTGGATATGAAGTTGTTGAGGACGCCATCATCACCATGACAGCTGTCGCCTGGTACATTAACGACATGAAGAGAAAACAGGAACATGCTGTACGGCTGCAGGTAAACACACACACAGTTTGTATGCTATTTGTATGTTTTCTTTTGATCACGGTCTGAGGGCTACAAGATTGTGTGAAGTTACAAAGTGTGTATTATTTACTTTGGCTAATTTTTCACCCAATTTTACCAATATCAGTCTTGTAGAGATAGGAGGAGTATTTCCCTTCTGATAGCCAAGATTGGTTGACCTGTTCAGGGTGTACCTCATCTCTCTGTGAGCTGGTGTAGGCTCCAGTCACCTGCAACCAGAGGGGGAGAAAGGCCACAGCTCCATCTTTGGAGTCGGAGTATAGAGCCTCCTGGTCAAATATGACTCCAATACAAGTGAGAGTTGTTTGATGTTGAATCAACACATTGTTGTATTGTTCCACATTTACAGAACCTAATGACTCTGAAACAACCTACTGACTGCCTGACGGACTGATTGTAGAACCTGAAGAAGCCATTGTCTTTTACATATTTCATATATACAGCAAACATTCAAACTAAATGAATCTTTCTTTATTTCCAAACCCTCATACACAGACCTCAGATCAGACCATGGTCTCTGGTGAAGAATCTTCTGCTTCATCTTTATCTGACGACGCCATAGTTAGGACACTGACAGGTTCAAACATGAATGACAGTGGAGGAGTTGGCTGTGATTGGTTTTTCTCCTGTGATGAACACAGTGTATGGTCTATCACATTTTTCAGAATAAAAGAAAAGTCATTCACTGACTAAAAGCTCTGCTTCAAAGTAAGAGTACTTCATAGAAATGTAGTGTAGTCAAAAGTCATATGTTTTTAAAAGAGTTAATACTGAAAGAAATATATACTAAAGTACAGTACTCAATACGAAGTAAATGTACTTCATTACTGTCCACCCCTCCCTGCAACCCTGCAAAAAATCAGTGTGTAGATGATATTGTATAATGGTGCAGTGGATATTCAGTTTTATAGTTGTCAGCTAAAAGTCAAAGATCAGTATACATGTTTTTAACCCAAGGGTCTCAGCTTGTGCTGAGTGGACACAGGTCAGATGATATTGGACAGTGTTCAAGCTAAAAACAAAGCTGCTTTCTTACTTCCTGAAACTCTTGAAAGATGTGAGGTTTCACTGGACAACTGGACTGAGCGTGTGAAGCAGCGAACAGAGCCTCCAGCCAGCTTCTCGTCCTCGGGCCTGTACAGAGACAGACAGGCAGCCAGAGGTCAGCTGGGTGACCTTTAGGTGTCCAACTCTACAACTGCTGCATTCCTCCACTCCCCCAACACGTGAAAAGAAATGGAATGAAATATAATTTCCTGTGTTGTCGTCATTATCATTGTTCAGTAAGGAAACGAGTGTCTGATCACTAAACATCTCTAGATGTTTGAAGATTTGCTCCATTATATGTTCAATTATCTCACTGCTGCAACAGTTTACTGGGGCAAAGAAGGTTGATTAAATCTCACTCAAATAAGAGCAGTTCTCCACCCACACTTGTCAGCTAAAAATGGAGGAGCGTGCCTCTGAAAAGGAGCTGACCTGTGAGGGTGGAGATGCATGTGGACATAATCCATTGAGGGCGTCTCTCTCTCCATAATCTATAGATATCACTGCTTTTACAGCTTTAGTTTTACCTTTTGTTCATTTTCTGCACCATTGTCACATTTAAGGATAAGGCCTTGGGTTACAGGTATCTACATTAACTGGCTGGATGGATCTGGGTGGATCTTAATTTGGAAAACAAAAGATTTTGCACATCTGTTTAGTGATGCAGGTGTGTGGGAGGGGATGAATGGATCAGAAGTAGTAGAAAAATCCAACACACTTTCAAAGTTGCAATAAAAAATTTATTTGCATAGTTTCAGTCCTGGCCCTTTATAGGCAAGTGGTTTTTAAACAATGGATCTTAATTTTAGAGATAATTACAGGTTTGTTAAAAAGAAAAACTGAAATTCACAACAGCAACTCGTTTTTAAGAATTTCAAGCTGAGGAAACTTCCTGATGGAGATTCCTCTGAATACATTTTAAGGACATTTTCACCAATGTTTTCCTTCTTACACACAGACCTCAGACAGAAACAACCTACTGACTGCCTGAGTGCCTGACTGCCTGACTGACTGACTGACTGACTGACTCACAGGTTCAAACATGACTGACTGTTGGCTGTGATTAGTTTTTCTCCTGCTGCAGCTGACCTGACTTTCACAACTTTAAACTTCAACCTCTGAAGGTTCACGGATCAGGAAGTGCACGGGTGTTGACCTTTGACCTCTAAGCAGTTGGGACATGGAGGGGTAGAAACATTCAAACATTCAAATGTTTCTCAGCGAATCATCAGTGCTCCCAAAACACCATATAAAAACAACATTAGACATTTGACATTAGAGGACCCAACAAATATTACTATAGCTGTCAACTCTGTGACATCATAGTAACAGATATAAAGAAGGTTTGACATGAAGTTGGTATCTCAAACACGTCTTGTTAAACCAGAGTGATCGATGACGGATACGCGGTGGTCAAGGAGACGTGATGTCACAGTGATGGCCGATAGAGTACCATGCCAGTATAGTGCTAGATAGAGAAGACCTGCAGACAGATGCTGAGGCAGCTGGTGGAAGAATTGTCCAGCAAGTACCAAACTATAGAACACATCAAGCCAGAAAACTGATGTGGAACCTCTCACTAAATCAGTAAGCCATGATGATGATGATGATGATGATGATGATGATGATATGGTGAGCAGAATATGACATCAGATTCATTTTGTTTATTATCTTTGAATAGTCAGATTAAATCAAAAAATGGAAAAAGTAAGGTAGATTGTCTGTACATGACTGGTACAGAGGTCTGGACCTCCACCTGTTTGTTCATGAAAGAAAGTCTGAGAAAACTGCTGAATGTGGCGAGTTCTGTTTAATCACTTGAATTTGGCTTAACAACTCCATATGCAGCCACTATGACGAGAGCCCTCTAAAAATTTCAGAATTATAAAGAACCAGCAAAACCAACAACCAACAAAATAGTACTCTTCTCATGCTGGTCTCGGGCATCGTTATGTCACTTCTACATTTCAGGTCTACGTAGAGCCATGAGTGGACACTTTATAAGAGGAGCTGTTGGTCATTGACTTTCCTCAGGCAAACACTGTCTGCATTGGCACTAATTACCTCAAAGTGTATACACAAGATCACAATCAAAAGTACTGTATTCCCATGGCATGCGTGGACTACAAATATGGAGCACAAAGGATAAACTCTATGAAACACACAAAAGGAAACAGCTGCAAACTCAAAACACAGATGCTTTGAAAAACATCACATCATGCATCACAAAAGTAACTGCTACTTAAACTAGAGAAATATTACACATTTGTGTTTTTATTGTTTTGTGGCAGTGATGGTAATTTCCATCTTTTACTCATCAAGTGTTTTGTGTCAGGCACGTCTCCTCTACACAGAGAGTGGTTGGTGAGTTGGGAACACCAGCTATCTCAGAATGATGTTTTAATCAAATGGATTCATACACAAAGTATAGAACTCCACAAGATGTCTTGCTTAAAGAAGCATTTGTGTTCAAAAACTTTTACTGAATTGCACCAGAAACTGTTTGTCCCTGATTGACTGGACTGATCTGGGTGCAGCTCTTTAGACCATTTCAAGGTGGTTTTCAGTCCTACAGAGATCTTCTGTAGAACCTCGATCACAACGTTTTGTGGGTCTGGAGAGTTTGTTCCAGAAGCTTCTCTCCTGATGAATCTCTGACCTTTTGACCTTTCACCTCCTCCTCACAGGAAATCGAGTCCCTGCTGGTGAACTGGAGTGGGCCAGACCTCAGCGGGTTCGGAGAGCTGGTTCTGGAGGGCTCCTTCAAGGTCCACAGAGTGAAGAAGGAGAGAGCGTTCTTCCTGTTCGATAAGATGCTGCTGATCGCCAAGAAGAGGCTCGAACAGTTTGTCTATAGCACGCATATATTCGTAAGCTCATCAATGTTGTTCTAATAGTCTTATCATGATTTGAAGAGCCACTAAGCCCCTAGTTTTACTGTGCCATGATGGTGTAGGTGCTGCTGATGGTTTACTTCCATAAAAATAGTCAAATTTAAAGATTTTTTTGCCAAAATATTGAGTCTCCAAAAAAACAGATTCATGTTAGATAACATGTCAAACCTTCCTTTAGATTAGATTAGATTAACTTTATTAATCCCACAACTGGGAAATTCACTTACCACAGCAGAAAATAAACATCTATGGAATAAACATCTATGGAAATATACATCAAAAATACACCAAATATACACCAATATACACCCAATATACACCAATAAATACAATATACACAATACACACAATAGGTACATGAAAAAGTGCAAGTTTGCACATGGTCAGGAAGAGCAGGAGTTGTAGAGTCTGACAGCTGCTGGAATGAAGGACCTGCGGAACCTCTCCATGCAGGGGGTGAGAGTTGTTGTTCATGATGGATGTCAGCTTAGCTAACATCCTCCTCTCACCTACTTCCTCAATGGAGTCTAGGGGGCAGCCCAGGACATGTGAATCATTCCGGATCAGTTTGTTGAGCCTCTGCCTATCCCTGTCAGTGCTGCCCCCTCTCCAGCAGACCACAGCGAAGTAGATGGCTGAACAGGTATATCACTCATGTATTTGTCTTTATGTTTCCCTCTCTCTGCTGCAGTGCTGTAATCTGCTGCTGGTGGAGACGCTGAAGGATCCGTTGTGTTTCAGAGTGTCAGACCAGACGATTCCCAAACAGCAGCACATCGTCCAGGTGAGTGCTGGAATGATGGTACCTCAGGAACCAAGTCCTCAACATTTTGATCCCCACTGACCTGAGGTCATGTCAGAGTCAGTCTGAGATTATCTGATGTTAAAAAAGATAAACAATACAGCTGATTAATTTGCAGCTATTAATTACCATTTAGTCATTTAAGTGATTTTTCAAGCAACAGTGTCAAACATTCAATGGTTTCTTCAGTGTGAGGATTTTTTTATATCATTATAAATGTTATACACTGTATTTGGCTTTTGGCCTGTTTGAACAAAATATCCATTTCAATAAGTCTCTGTGGAGATTATGAAAAATATTTATCACTATGTTCTGACATGTTATAGTGTTAAGTTTGAATCAATGAGTCAGTAGTTGCAGCCCTGATAAAAAATGAATAAACAGCACAGAAACATGAACTAATGACACAAGGTCATAATTACAGAAAGGTTATTGGTTACAGTGTCGACTGACTGTACTAACTCCTGTATTTCTGTCACTAATGCTGCCTCAATGTGACCTCATGCAGACAAAGAACCAGGAGGAGAAGAGACTGTGGGTGCACTACCTCAAGAGACTGATCGTAGAAAACCATCCTGCTTCACTCCCACAGAAGGTGAGGGGGGTGAACCAGTGTTTTACTTCCATATAACTACGATATTACATCCAGAACTTCTGCTGTTATTTTTACTGTCAGCACTGAGTATCAGTACTGGACCAAAGGCATTAAAAGCAGAAGTTATAGTAGTAGTTGTAGTGTCAGTTGCAGAAGAGTAGTATTACTATTGTACTTTTAGCAGGAGTAGTAGTTTTACTGTAGTACTGGTAATAGTAGAAGAAGATGCAGCAGTAACCAGTTGTAACAGGAACTAAAACTGCTAAATTAGTCAAAGTAGCAGGATTAACTGAAGTCATACAGTAGATGTAATGTCGCTGGTACTAGCAGCATCAGTAATTTGGTCTTTGCTGCCACCTGCTGGTCATTTACACAAATTTCACTGCACTTCGAAAACCTGGAAACTGGATCCATGAGAGGGAAGTCCTGAGCATTGCCTTCTTTTCTGTTTCTTTTTTGAGGAAATATATCACAAACTAATCAAAATGTACACAAAAGACAAACACACAAATCAACACGTCTGTACAACTATCTTTGTACCATAACCCAAACTCTAATGCCAAGGCTGTGTCCGAAATCACTCACTAATCCCAATATAGTCCACTATATACTGAGTTCACCATTTTGACTGAATGTATAGTAAGAATTCTTCTACCCTACACAGTGGACTAGTATCCCAGAATGCATCATGTAAGGTAGTGTTTTAACATTTCACAGATCAGTGTATAGTCTTCTACATAGGACTGTCTGGATAGTGAGTAGGGAGGAGTGAATTAGTGAGTGGTTTCAGACACAACCCAGATCTTAACCCTCAAACAACCATTTCAACTTTTGGGGTCCAGCATTATAGTCTTGATAAAGCACCATGCACCGCACAAGTACAATGGGCTCCCAGATTTCAGACCCCATTGTAGTGTACACCATTAATATAGTAAAAAAAAAACACACGCACACACTAACACACACAAAACATATTTTCTGGAGGCAGTAGTATCTCTAAGTTGTAGCGACTGCGGACATCTATCCACTCACGTTCTGAACTTGAGTCTGGAGCAGTGAACGACATCAACATCGACATCAGATCCAACACCAAATTATTCTGCAGAGGTACATTGACTTAACAAATACAGTAAGATATGATTACCAGAACAAACTTTTGGTTTAGAATACATTTGATTCTTGAAACTGTGAGTTTGACCTTTACTCCTCTGTTTCTCTGAATGAGGCTTTTTCTTCCGTGTACCGTGTGAATCTCTTTTACCAAAAATATGAGAACTAAACAAAGCAGTTCATTGGAGGAATTTAAATCACAGAAAGTACTGACCAACAGCACCTTCTGCTGATGCAACTGTTACTCTACACAAACCAAGTGACAAACTCGCCCCTCCCCTCCGACAAGCTTGACCACGAGCTGGTTTCACAAAGATAGACTGTGACTGTGGTTTATATAACAATTATATAACAAATAGTCATACTTCACTGTATCCATCAGCTCAGCTCAGTTTACCCCACTAGAACATGTTGTCTCTTGTTTTTTTGTGCTACTCCTCATCGCAGGTGTCATTGATTGTTACCATGGTAACACTGGTCTTAGGACCTTAGCCTGGGGGGTAAGGTGTTAAATTTTTTTGGCTTAAAAGTCAATCAGTCAGACTCTGTCTTTATTTTTGTGAAACTTTTTTACATGTATTAAACTAATCTATGAACGAAATTAAGACTGGACCCACACTACAGACCAGTCTGAAATATCTTTGTGAAACTGGCCCCAGGTGGTGCTTTCAGAGGTGCTCAGGTCTCTCTGAACAGTCATTTAATTTCTTAGCATGCATTAGCACAGGTCACCAGTCTTTTAAAGTTAAGTGATAAAAAAAAAATGTTTCAGTATTCAGGACATCAAAGTCTGACCCACATGAAATAAAATTCCAAACAGACCATAAAACAGACCCTGACTGTCAGAAAGTCCATTTAGAGACTGCATCATTTAACTTATCATTGTTATTTATACAAACACCTCATAAAGAATGACTGAGGAGACATTTATCTTCTGCCTCTTATCTTATCTTCCAGGCGAGACAGGTCCTGGGAGACAACTTCTGTCAATGTGAGCACACAACCACACACATGCACACACACACATACACAAATGCACATTCAAGCAGAAAGATAGGAACACACAAATTTAAAGAAACACACACACAAGAACACGCATTTCTTTTGACAGTCCTGTTTATAAGCATCTTACCATTTTATTCATACATAAATCCACTGTGAGTGGCTGATTTTAGCATGTGATGATGGGGTCACATCACTTCCTGTGTTTAAGCGCCCCAGTTTGACCAGGACAACCTAAAGAAGTCCTCTGCCTCGCCACGACTGGATGACATGTACAGCTATCACAGAGGAAGACGTCAATCAGGTCAGGGTTAGTGGTCATTTTCTCTGTGCTGCAGTTTAACAAGATGATGTGATTTTAATGTACATCCATGAGAAATAACAGTTTTAACAGAGTTGGAAAGATGCTTAATCAATTAAAACAATATCTGAGGGTCTCTCTACTGTTTGTCCCTCCAGAGCCTCCAGAGCTGCTGATGTACACACCTGAGAAGTCCAGGAAGAGTCTGCCGCTACTGCTGGAGGGAAACCTGCCATACAGACGCACCAGGAGACAGTCAGGTAGGCAGAAACACCTGGGGACAGTCAGGGAGACAGAGACAGACACAACAGGAGACAATCAGGTAGACAGAGACAGAAAAACCAGGAGACAGTCACGTAGACAGAGACAGAGAAACCAGAAGACTGTCAGGTAGACAGAAACAGCTAATCTAAATCAACAGTTGAGGACAGAAGTCTCCGTCCTCCCGTGAGGACCGATGTTTTCAGTCGGTGTTCAGCTGTGAAAAGTTGATGAGATTATGAACATTTTTCCTGATAAGTGAGCAAAAAAAACTCACAGAATGATGACTCACAGAAACTTGGTATTGAGTAATAATAACAACAAAACCTGTCAGGTCAGAGTTTTAACCATGAGCCAACAGATCAAACAAAGTCTCTGTTTCTTTTTCAGCTCCAGCTAAAGACATTGAAACAGTGTTTCATCCCAATGGTGAGAATCTGTCTGAGTCAACTTGAGGATTCATACTAATGATAAAGATGTACTGCACAATACAAATTCAACAGAGCAACCAGGCCTGCTGAACGGTTGAAATCAGACATCACAGAATATTTTACACAGGCTTATTGCTGTTGTGGTGTGGTTGCTAAGAAGTTAAGTGCTTGTCTAATGATAACATCTGTCTCCTATCTGTCACACTCTTCCTCTCTTCTCCCTCCTGACTTTCCCACCACCCGGGGGAATCCTGCAGCTTTGAAGGTGAGTGTAGTGAAGGTGAGCACGTTCAAGCTCCCCTGATGATACAGCAGGACTAAGCAGGATACTAGATAAGTCCTCACCGGTGTCAACAGCTGACTGTATTTCCCAGCATATTTAATTATGATTATGCCTCTGTGCCAGCCATAGCCAGAGCTGAGTGGATTTTAGTGGTCAAAGGTCAAAAGTCAAAGTTGTGTTGACTTCAGAAAGCATGATTTTGGCCATGTGATTGTAATAGCTCAGTAACGCCTTGAGGGAATTTCTTCACATTTGGTACAAACATTCACCTGTACTCAAGGACAAACTAATTAGATTTTGGTGGTCAAAGGTCAAAGGTTAAGGTCAGTGTGACCTCACAAAACACTTTTTAGCCATAATGAGAGTCAAGACTTCACACAGAAATTATGACAAAATTTCAAACAAATATTTTATATTTTATATAACTCTGGGTAAACTGTGTTTTCTGTGTGTTTCTGATTGAAAAACAAATCATTAAATCAATAAACCATCATATGCTGAGGGACTGTTAATAACATATAACATATGTTAATGGTTTTGATGTATAGAGTTGTGTTAATATTTGGTGATACAGCATGAGTTCAAAGTGACTGTGGTGGTATATGGTGCTGTCTTGTGTCTTGCAGCAGGCGGGCAGTGAGGGCGAGTTGTGCCAGGCCGACAGTCTAGGCTCAGCTGGCAGCAGCAGCACGCTTGCATCCTCTGTCATTGAGGTGGATGCTGAACGGGCTGAACTGGGCCTGACACCACAGCTCCAACCTAATCATGAGGAAGAGGTATTTCACTGTGACGTGATGTGAGAACAGCTTGAGACTTGATTTGTCCCTCAGCATCAAATAAGACTGCTTACAGAATTTAACCCATAGAGGTTTGGACTTAAGTCAGACATGTATACATGTATAATGTATTGTAAAAAAATGTGAAATTCTTAAAATGAGTCGACCTGAACTTAATTTTCTTGACTTGGACTTGACCTGAAAGATTATAAACGACCCTGCTCCTGTATTACCAATAGATTTCAATCTTCACTGTTCTTTTTCTGTCCTTGTCTTTATCTGTTCTAATGACCAGGAAGAGGAAGAAGAAGAGTTAACCCCCCTTAGTCATCCTCCCACTCTGTCCATCACTGAGGAGATCCTGGAGTTCATCAACCAGAGCAGAGCCAGAGAGGGACTCACCTCTATTCATACTGATGCAACGGTTAGAGACAATTTACCTGTAATCTATACACATAACACCTATGATAGGACACAACTTATGACCTGATTTGTCTACACTCTTAATCAGTTTTATTCAGATTAATCTACTACAGGATATTGTACCATACTCTTCTGTATTTAACTGTAATCTGCTGAACAAGATGAGTGTATCAGTCAGACCAGTCTTAAGCCCTGCTTGTGGCTCATTTTAAAAGGGGGGAGAGGACTTCAGGCACTTTGCAGCCTGTGCATTCAACTGATAATTACAATATATACTCAGTTGGCAGTTTATTAGGAACACCAAGCTAAAACTAATGCAGCCCACTCAACAGTCCTGCAATTTTAATGTTATTAATTGCTGTCGAGACTGTGTGATCATTGTGGAGGATGTAGTGTGCGGAGCTGTTGAGCTGTGTTACATTATACAGAGAGGTGTTTCTGTTCTTTAGCCTACCTTCTCTAAATGTGACAAAAGAGTAGTAACACCAGGACACCTTGGTGGGAGTTCATAGAGGCGGAGATGTATAACATAAACTTCACAAAGCGCTACATTGGTAGGCAAGGATCCACCGTCAGTATTTTAGCATTTAATGTTAGCTAGAACCATTAGGCACCTTAAAGTACACGCCAAAAATATGCTTAAAAGTACAAGTACACAAAAAACTACTTTGTTACAATGAGGAGAGTAAATGCCCTTATGGAAAGGGTTAGGTTTCGGTTTCATCATCTGGGGACCATGAATTAGCCAGTAATTGTCTAGATATCTTCAGACTCATTTTAAAACACCATTGTCTTACTTTTCTTCCAGGAGAAGGTAGATCAGTCCAAAAGGAGTCAGTCTCCAACTAACCAGAGCAACTTCACCTGCCCACTGCCCCCAGTTGTCTGCTCCTCCAGCCCAGAACAAAGACCTGCAAAGCAACAGGAGCAGGAAAGATCAGCGATGGAGGATGACGGCACCCTACATAGTCAGACCAGTAGCTCTGACAAGGAAAATGAAGCAACAAATGAAGTCAAAGAAATTCCAGATGCAACAAGTCAAGTGGAAAAGGGAGTGGAACTAGATGGAGAGACACAAGGAGAAGGGGTAGATAAAGAGAAAGAAGACAAAAAAACAAGGGAGGAAGGAGAGGGACAGTGCATCATTTTGGCTGCAACATCAGATCTTCATCCCTCCATCTCAGCTGGGGAAGAAAGAGAGAGCAGTAGGGAAGAGGCGAACAATGAGGCCACCACTTCCTCCCCAAATCCAGATCTCCCTCATCACCCCATCCAGAGATGCCAGCCACCTACAAGAGGCTCCCACCTCACCAAACGTGACAAGAAGATCATTGAAAAGATCAGGAGTTACTACGAGGCAGCAGCCGAAGCCGATGAGGATGATGTGGAGGAGGAAAATGAACAGGGAGAAGGAGTGGCATCAAGGAGGAGGAACAGTTTCTCACAAATCCCATCTGGCTTGGTGAAGGAGTCTGTGTCACGCTTTGATGTGGGTGGACACCAGGGTGAAACAGAGAGCACACAGTCCAAGTATGAAACAACTGAAGCAATCGACAGAGAGAATGATCGAGAGGCAGAGCCCTGCTCCCCCACTGGTCCCATCTCTTCCCCAACTCCACTCTCAGCATATGCAGAGAATGATAGACAGGCAGATAAACCAATTAGCTCCCTGGATTTTGATGCAGAAGGCCCAATCAAGACACCAATGCTTACTGTTATCCAGGACAAGGAGACGCCAAACCAAGTGGGTCTGAATCTGCAGTTGAACCAAAACAGGCCTGTTGGAGAACGAACTGAGATACAGGACAACAACGGAAAGGTGTGCACAGGACTACTAGAGGAAGGACTGGATGACAGGCAGGATGGAAACTCAAATGTTGTGCCTACTGGGGAGCAAGGTGGTCACTTACTGCAAGCGGTGGGATCATCTAACACCAAACAGTACAAGTGCAGAGATGAAACAACCAAAACTTATGTTATGAAAGGTGTTATGAAAAGCAATGAACCTAACCAATGGGACCCAGCAGAGCCAAAGAGAAGCCAGAAAGAACCCTCTACACCTCTGACACCGACAGAACAATGTCAAAAGACTGAGACCACAAGCCAGTCCACTTGGACTGTAACCAAACACAGAGACCTGGCCAAGACAAGCCTTGAGGATCTTACCAGTCAAATAAAAGTGGGTCGATGGTCCCGCCACTCCAGGATTGTCACCGCTAACCGGGCGTTGTTTGAGGGCATGGGGTCGGACATAACCAGTGTTGGGTTGTTTGAGTCCAGCCCTGTGGTGGACCCTGTGTTGATAGAAAACTCAGAGCGTATTCTGAGCAAGGTCCAAACACTGGCCCGGATGTATAGTGCCAAAGCCAGTACCATGAAGATCCCGCTGCATCAGAAACGGGCCAGCACTGTACGGAACCAATCATGGGGCTCAGGTAGACTGTCTGGACACTCAACTCTAACCCTGACACAGGTTCCATCCCAGACTCAACAACAGACCCCTTCTAAGAACTGGCAACAAACACAATACCAGATGGGAATCAATAAATCAGATACCCACACGGAATCCGAAACTGGAACACAAACTCACATCAAGACCAAGGTTCAGAGCCAAACCCAAACACAAACTAGGCAGCAATTGCAGATCCAAACTAAGAGCCAAATCTCGAGTCAGGCACAGACTCATTACCAAAGGCAATACCAGACTCAGACCATGAGCTGGGAGGACCAGAGGATCCAGGAGGAGGGGATGATAAACAGAGCAGAGAGCCTGACAGTTGGTAGGTTGGCCTTTCTAAAATTCAGACTGTCAGACTGACCAACATTCATACCTGTAGAGCCACATGGCTGTATGGCCAATGGTCATTGTAATCCATTACTGAGGGGTTTTCTGTTGTTCTCTTCTAGATTTCCAGAGGTTGGTGATGCCCCCCTGTGAACCTCTGCTCTTTGGTCATGTGTTTGTCAAAGAGCAGCTGACCTCAGCCTGTCACCACCAAATGAATGACTTCACCCTCTCCAGGCCCAGGGACTTCATCTCTGCCTTGACTAAAGAAAGAGACTCTGTTGTAGGCTGTAGATCAGGTGACAAATCCCAGACCAGCTCCCAGAGTCCTAGGGAAAATCCAGTTACCTCACAAAGAGATCAATCTTCCAATCAGGCACAGGATAACAGCTATGACCCGGGGCGCACCTCCTCTGACAGGTGCATGGCTTCTGCATCTGCCAGGAGTCACCTCAGTGCACAACCTGAAGATCAGAGCTACAGTTCATGCTGCTCTGCCACAAACACACCCTCGACTCCAAACATGACCTTGGATTGTGGAGTCACCAAGCTCAGCTCCACCTGTTTCGCAGGGAAAGATGAAGCCCTGCATCAAAATAGAGAGGTTTATACAGATACTGAGGAGACAGAGAAAAAAGGGGGGTGAGTGAATAATACTTACAAACACAGGAAAATGACATGATGAGCTCAAAGGGGTGGGAGTTAAGGTGATAATTATGAAGGTAAAGGTGCCAGGATCATTTGAGTAACTGTAAAATATGCAAATAATAACAGCAGGACTGGGCATGCACTTGATTTCCTCCTTCACTACCTACTGCCTACTGAAGATATAAAGGTCAGGCTTTATAGTGAATACAGATGTCTGAAGCTGCTGCTTCTAATGATGACTAGATCCTGGTTTAAAAAAAAAAATAACAGGATATTTAGGATTATTTATTATTATTATTATTTATTACTACATTTATAAAACAACAGGTTAGGGTCTGTATAGCCAATTACACCTCTTCCGCTTAAAATTCTGTTTAAAGGGTCATAAGGATGTGTGTGTGATGGATAGTTGACAGGTTTCTGTCCAGTGGTGTTAGCCCGTTTCATATGCGGCATATCTGCATTTAATTCCTGCAGCACATGACAAGAATTTCAGCAAATTCCCAACCAATTCAATACCAAATTAAAGCTGCAAGCAACGTTGAGTGGGCCCTTGCCCTGTCACACACCTCGGTGGTGCTGGGAGGACGCAACTTGATGCAGCCAACATGCATTATATTCCTGCATATCAAGTGTAAACCAGACCATGAAAATTTCATGTAAATCAAATGATGATTGTCACTCAAGGGTTAATTCCTTTTTTTGGTAGGTGGTGCTATGACTATGATTTCATATAAACATGCACATGTCTTCACTGCGGGACTCTCATCAAAAATGTGAAGTTTGGAGTAGATGGACAATGTATATTTGAATTATAACAACTTCCTGTTACATGGCAAAACATTGAAATTTAACAGCCACACCTTCAGCCACAACTCACAGTTTTCACTGTAAAGCATCATCAAGGTCTTTTCTGACCAGGTTTGAGATGGGTGTGGTCAACCAGCTAGGAGAAGTACATCAAATTGTAAAACATGATATTTGCCAATTAGGGGCGCTATGATTATCACTAAATATTGGCCAGAGGATGTCTTCAGGCCAGGACTCTTATTAAACTATATAAAGTTTGGGACAGTTTGGACAATGTGTGTCACCGCGCTGCCACAGGCAGGCCATTCAATGAAAACTCAAAAGCTTTGCAAGTTCTTAAGATGAAACCGACCAAATATGATGTTGATATGATCAATTCCATAAGAAGAGTTTGTTAAATTGGAAAAATTGCACAAGAGCTGTTGCCAGGCAGGATGCTTTATGTTTTTGTTTTTTTTGTTTTTTTTAAATATGTTTTGGAGGTATTTTTGCATTTAATTGGATAGTTGCAGTGAGAGAGAGCTAGGACTTTATGTTTTGAGGTTGTCCGTGTGTTTGTCCCATTCTCCTGAATGTGATATCTCAGTAACACCTTGGGGGAACTTCTTCAAATTTTGGCACCAACATTCAACATGGACTCAAAGATGAACAAATTAGATTTTGGTGGAAAAAGGTCAAAAGTCATTGTGACCTAACGAAACATGTTTTAGGCAATAACTCACTAATTCATACAGTAATTATGACACAATTGAACTCAAATATCTATAAGGATAAGATTAAGTCATGATATTTTATATCCAAAAGGTCAAAGGTCAACTTCACTTATGTTCTGCAAAAAAACCTTTGGTCATTATTCAACACTAATACTGCAACTTAAGGAAGGAGAGACTGTCACCATGTTTCGAGTCAAGCTGAGGTGGGACAAACTGGTGGCAACCTCAACTGCAAAGTGTAATAGGATGATAAACCTATTACTGAGCACATACACTGCCAAAACACCTCTTCTTAAAACTTCATATATTTGGAATAAAACAGTATTTTCCAAATCTTGACTAAGACACACATTGGAAGAGGTAAAACTGGCAACAGCGACGTCACTGTTTTGTGGGGAAATGTAAACAGGTTTAGACAGGATTTGTCAGGTTTATAGAGGACTATTTGTAGAGCCAACAACAGGTTATAATTGAAGCAATTCGTGTATTATCATGTTGTGTTGTTTTCCAGTTATGTTAGTCATTGCTTGTTTCAGTCTTGATTAACTTTCCAAAGACATTGTTTGATTCTCCTCCTGGTTGTCTGCAGGTCACAGCAGAGTGCTGCACACCCTGTCTCCTCAGTCAGAGAAGACTCAACATCTGCAAACATCATTACCCAGCCAGCACACAAATACAAGCAGGATATACCAGCTGCACAGTATATACAAAATAAACATGTACCAGATACGGACAACATTGATTACTTAACTAAAGACGTGCCGGGTGCTCATGCAGAGCCTGAACACTTGGTTTGTACAAAAAACCTGGATGGAGAGCCGGTGCTGACTTTAGCAAAGAAAGATGAACTCCGAAGTGATCAGACAAAATTAAATGAGACAAAGTGTGACTTAAATTCTCCATCACAAACCAGGATGATTGTACAGGGTTCAGCAGTGATCTTTTCAGAGGAGCCACCTTTCCACAGATCCTCAAGAGACCTGGTTATTCCACCATCCCCGAGCCAGCCTTTGCACTTGACCTTTGACCCCTTTCAGGTGAATCTCACCTCAGAGGATCACAAAGCAAGAGAAAGGGCAGCACTAAGTCCAGGTCCATCACCAAATCCCACGCAACCACAGTCTCAATCAGCACAGTCAGGAGACTGTCTACCAACATTCATTAGCCAGAGGCTACCAGAAATACCCACTACTACGGGTAAACAGGCCCTGTCTAACACCTTGAATCTCAATTACACCACTCCATATGAATGCAGGTATGTCTATACCCACAAAAGCTCCTTCATAGCTTTTTACTACAAGGTACAAAAAGTAGACCTTCAATAGAGTGTTCTTCAGACTCTCCTTTATAGTCTCTAAAACCTTATACCAACCGGTCCATGACCTCAACTTGACCATGTCCTGACCTGAGTTCAATTCAGCCCAGACATGGTTTTCAATTTTAGCATCTCATACACAGTAAGACTTTTAAATAATCACTATAATCACTCTAAATGAAGTTTAGCCCCTTGTTTTGCTCCTTTCATGTCCTTTGGTTGTCTTTTGATAAAGTGTTGAAAGTAGAAACCTATGAGCAGACTAACAGATTTGTGATAAAGGAAACTACAAGGTTAAGTCAGGCCAAGCATTCTTTCAAGTATGGGCCTAAGGGCACATCTGTACTGTAACCACACCAAATAACATAGTAAGGAATGTCAATTTGGCTTGTTACAGCAGTAAAAATCTGCCTTCAGCCACATCACTGGGCTGTGTATCAGTTGCACTTCAATACTCAGAGTTTTTGAAAGTTAGTGGCTGGTAGAAAACAAATCTTATGTATCATGTCTAACATATCTAACACTAACTGCTTAAGAAACAAGCAGATCTGAATAGCATGTAAACAACAGAAACACCAGCAACCGGAAATGAGAAATAAACAATTAATATACTAAGTTTAACACGACAGACGAGAGTGACTGAAAACAAGGCTTCTACTAAAATACCACTATGACCACCTCATACCAACATATCAAACAGAGGGAGTTAGACAATAAGACCTGCCTCTAATAAAAGCCTGTCTCGTCGACCTTTCTCTCTGAGTGATCATGTTACAGTAAATACAGCTGAAGTCCCAGTTCAGTCTTTAATTGATGTGTCTGGTGATTTTGTCAGAGGAAGTCACAGTTGTAAAATCAGGATTTGACCAGAGGCAGTCCAGATATACAGTATATGAGGTTCTGACCTAGTCTTGTTAAAACAATGAGTTCAAGCTTCCCTGATTTACTCAGCTCCACTTTCCACCTCGTCAACATAATTCATCCTCTCCCATCGTGGTTAAACCTAACCAACCGGAATAGGAGGAGCAAGTTCCCATAAAGCACTAGGTGTAAAAAGGGAGCATGCGTTATAAAGAAGTCATGTCGCAGAAAATACTATAGCAAGCAACACATCAATAGGGAAAGCAATGAAAAGAGGCCTATCCAAACAGCCAGGTTTTGTTGGATGCATCGCTTATGATTTTTCAATCCCTGTCATTTCAGTAAAACTAAACCACTGACTGTGCTGAGTGTGGCTCATTTTGATCTGTGCCTCTCTATTAACTCCAGGGAACCAGACCAGCAGGACTCAGGATCCCCTAACAACCTGCCCATCTTTAGCCTCCTTTCAGGCCGCCACCCACCCTCCTGTCTCTCCATGGAGACAACCAGCCTGGGGGAGCCACCCAACCCAGCCATTGCCACCCATAGCCAGGACACAGAACCCACCTCGGCCCCCTCAGCCTTCAGTCCCAGCTTAAGACACCGCTCCCGTTCTCCTGTTAGAGCTCCTCCCGCCTCCTCTCCCCTGCCGCTGTCCCCCTCCTCTGTCCGAGTGCCTCCTTGCTCATCACTGTTCACTGTCGTTCCAGCATCTTCTCTGACCCCTGGATCCAGTGAAGGCTTCACCTCCCCAAACACTGGCTCCAGGGCTGTTCCCTCTTCATCCCCTACTCCCTCTGCTGGCATGACAGCCCCACCTGCCTCGTCTCCAACACCTTCCTCTGCTTCAGGGAGGTCTTTATCAGTAAGAGCAGGTGTTCCCTCCTCCCCTACACCATCCTCTTCCCTCTGCTCATCCCCCATAACTTCTTCCTCTGCATTTACCAGATCTTTAGCTGCCTCCTGTATCAGCCAGTCCATCAGTCAGAGTATGGCAAAAAAAAGCACTGCCCAGCAACAAGCCCCACCCATAAACCCAGTAAATCAAAGCCCCTCCTCCACTCCCTCCTTCCCCTCATCTCATCTACGACGGTGTTCCCCTTCTCCAAAACTCCCTCCCAGTCAGCAAAGTCCCAGTACACCTGCTTATGTCCAGATGGGGTACATTAAAGATGGGCACCAGCATCCAAGGTGTCCACCATCATCTCTCCTATCCTCTTGCCCTTCTCCATCCCTCCTCCAGTTACCCCCTCCCTCTCTTTCACACTGCTCACCTTCCCCATCTATGAGTCTGGCCCATCATCAACCTTCCCACTCTCACTCCTCCTCTCATCCTTCATTCCTTCACTCATCGCAGAATGCAAACAACAACAACAACAACAACAACAACTTTAACTTAGCTGGTTTACCAACAGCGGTCAGCAGTGGAAGTAATATCAGCAGCTGTAGCATTAACGGTGCTGTCAATAATGGGGGTTGGTCAGGAAGTCCTCAGAAGACACCGCTAGCTAATGGTAGCACTAATGCTACAGTAATGCAACAAACCCATGATCCTCTGTGGTTGGGGTCACACAACCGTGTAGCTCGGCCTTTTTCTGCATCCGAACCCAACTCACGAGTTCAGTCCCCAACTCCCTCCCCGACCCCTGCTTCGTTTGCTCGACTCTGCTCTCCACCTCCTCAACATAAGTTCTCCACCCCCATGGCAAACAAACCTCCCCACCCCCTGAGCACACGGGCAGGAGATGCAAGTTCCCATAATCCACTAGGCCTCACTTTGGAGCTTCCCAGGGCCTCTTCAGCAAGTTCGGCATTAGTACAGTCATCGTCGTGCCTGAGCCCTCGTATCCTCTCCCCTCCTCCCATTGGCGTGTCAGTGAATGTTTGGACAAATAATGTTGCAACACCTCAACCAAGAAACCCCAGATTATCTTCCTCTTCTCCTTTGTCTCCCTTTTTTTCCACCTCAGGCTCAGCAACTTTTCCCACTTCCTCTTCTACTTCAGTCCCACTGCATAGCTGTAGAGCCTCTTCCCCGTCTCGACCCTGTCCTCCTGCGGTCCAAACACTCCACAGGTCTTTCTCCTCCAACTTGGCAGACAGACCCCCTAGTCCAGCCTGGAGCAACCCGAGCAGACTCCGCTGCTCCTGGGCAGAGAGTAGCCATAGGTCCCTTTGTTTCAGTGGAAGTGGTCGAGGGTCTTTCAACCAGCAGGAGTCCTATCCAACCAGCCCACTGAGCGGATGGTCCTCATACAACACCTCGCAGTCCTGCCTCAGCCCCCGACCCAGGCTTCAGTCCTCACTCTCAGCTAGCAGGCTTACCCCAAGGAAGGGCACCCTTGGTGGCCAGCATTTCACCAGCGTGCCATGGCCAGATGTTCGAGAGCTTTCAAACAAATATAACGGGGCTGACTGTCTCGATACAATTGGTACTTCCACTATCATCGCCACCTCTCCTTCTCTCTGCTCCCTCTCTCAGTCCTTCCTCTCCTCTCCGGCTCCATCAGACAGTCAGACAGAATGGGGAGACCCAGAGCTAGAAGAGGGTAGCTGTCGTAGCCAGCTCATCTGTGCCTATGTTGCCCACCCCTTCCGTGAACAAAACCTCCCCTCATGTCTGGCCCTGTCCTCCTCAGGCACCACCTCCCCTCCAAACAACTACCCATCCGAAGTCAAACCACACCCTCAGGCCCAAATCACCACCAGAACATCTCCTGTACCCTCTGTCCACTCCCCCTTGCCCTCAAACTCATCACCCCTACCTTTTGTCCATTCCTCTCCTACCAAGCCTGGGAACCAGAAGACCAGTTATGCCACCACAGTCAACCTCCAGATCGCTGGAAGTGGCCGAATAACCTCCTTCAGCACCGCCCAAGTTAGCCTGACCCAAACCCTTCAAGGTGGAGCAGGAGCTGGAGGACCGGGACAGGGGCAGATGGTGAGGAGAGTGAGCATCAACGGACTTTCACACCTTCCTCCCCCTCTTCCTCAGAATTGCAACAGGCTTTAAAGAAAGCGAGAACTCTTCCTTCATGGTCTTATAAGGGCCAAAAGACAAGATGGTGGTGGAAGTAAAAAAGGCATTAGACAATGTGTGTATTTTGCTTTCTGTGCAGAGGAAGCAACACAGGTTAGTGTGTAACCCTTAGTCAGTGGTCCAGACCTTCACAAATATCCCCTGGCTGGACCTGAACCATGAACCACTCTGCTTGCCACCATGTTGGAAATGAAAGAGCAAAGCGTGGGGTCCTTTGACCTGGGAATAAGTTGTTCACATCTAAGGGACAGAATGAATGTTTTCAACTCAATGTGGCACAGATTTGAAGACACAGTGTGAAGGGGATGCGTATTGGGTCTTGGCTTCTGCAAACGCTTCATACCTGAACATTAAACATGATCTTTCAAGAATGGAAATTCTACCTGCACGTGGTTCGTATATTGCAACCTGGGCTAATGACTTTGAGTGGATGCAGATGGAATTGCTTTAAAGATCCTAATATGGTAAAGAGTAATGACCATGTCTCCATCCATGGAAATGTATCACTCAGCTCTGATCTCGTAGGCTGAGCACCAAAACCCCTGACTGTCCACAGCTGTCCGATCACTGGTCAAACGGCTGGACCAGTCTGAAGTCTGTTCATTGGACAGAACAGCTCTGGACTCTGTCTGGTGATGTGACGACTTCTCACATGGAACTTTTCACTTTAGACATTTCTGTAAAAGCCAGTTAACTCAGTAAGATTTAATGAGTGGGAGTTAATCCATTCTAACACATCCTGCAAACACATACACGTTGAAGGTCCAGTGTCCACATTGCTGTATGCAATCTTTGTTACTTAAAGTTTGTTTTCCTATTTTCTTTTATATATTCTGTTGAACAAACATCAGTGTTTGGCTGTCTGAGGTCAGTGTTGAGGATGGGTAATAACTGTGGTTATTATTAATTCATCATTTTAACCATTTTTATAATTCTTTTTATTTTATTGTTTATTTATAAAGTTAGTCTTTTTCTCTTTGGCACTTAATATCCTTCAAGTAATGTTGGTATTTTGCACAGTGTCCTCACCGCTTGGGTGCATGCTTTGAAGTTTGTTAGTGTACATGTTAGTGTGATAGTGCGCTGTGTGTGTGATGTAGTTTGTGATTGTGATGGTGTGTTGTGTGTGCTGTGTGATTATTGTGTCGTGTCGATGTGCAACGAGTGTTCTGATGTCTTACTTGAAATGACGTGTCTTTAACTTCAGACCAAGCTGATACCTGTGTGTTTTAATGCTTTGTTTGTTTCTGTAGTGGTGTACTCAGATGGTTCATTGACTTTATACTCCCTCCTGTTGTCAGTGCTCTTCAGAAACCTCGTATCTTCAAGCTTCACCTGGTTTTGCTACATGAACTTTGTATTAAACCAAACACTGGTCATGCATCAAGTGTCACAGCAGACTCAGGTTTCACTTCCCAGTAACACACAGAGATGTATTGAAGTATACTTTAACGTACTTTATGCTAAATGCCAGATGTGTTTTGTTTTTAATTATTTTTATGCATCTGCGCAGGCTTTATATTTTCAGGTTGTCTGTTAGTTCGTCCCATTCTCATGAACAAACTCAATAACAAGTGAATTTCTTCAAATTTGGTGCAAACAGTCACTTGGACTCAACGGTGAACCGATTAGAATTTGGAGGTCAATGGTCATAGTCATTGTGACCTCACAAAACATGTTTTCAGCCATAACTCATGAAGGAGGAGGATAAAATGAAGTGATGACATTTTATATCCAAAAGGTCAAAGTTCAACTTCACTGTGACATTATAATGTTCAGCAAAATCACCTCTGGCCATTATTCAACACCGTCACTCAGTAAGAGTGAGTGTGACTAAATGTCATACAACTTGGCTGGTTGGTGGAGGAAACAATCACAAGGTCGTACTTCTAGTTTTTCCAAATTCCTTTATAGATCATGTCACTCAGATTGAATGTCCCCACACATTCAGAAGTTGTTAAGAAAAAAAAAGTTTTCAAACAGTTTATAGTTCCTTTTGTGATGAGAAATCACTTGACAGAAGCTGGAGAGAAAATTATATTAATCTGTATTTTAAAAAGTTAAAGTAGTGTGGATCTGAAAATGACATTTTTTAAATTTTAATGTTCAACAGTTCCTTCTTTTAAACAAGTCCTCCAACCTAAACAACTATACAGGTCGTTGGTTCTTACCCTACAGCGGCAGGAGAGATGCCTCAGATAAATTGTTAAAAATCACTCTTCAAAAGAAATAACTGGCCCTTTTATGTTGTGACAACGCTGTGGTGAAAGTTAGGTTAGGGAAAGATTCTGGTTTGGGTTAAAATAAGTACTTTGTTAAGGATAGAGGATGTTTGTTGTTATGGTTACAGTAAAAACACGTGGTTAAGTTTAAAGAAAAAACGTTGACTGGAACAGGAAATGAACAGCAGTATTCATGTTGAACCTCCTCCCTACACAGAAACCTGTCGCTATATTGTAACATTATAATATATGTTTTATACAGTCTCCTTTCAAAAACAAAAAGCAAAACTAATTCTGTGAAATTCAACATTTGAAATTGTTCTGGAGGTGAAATATAAAGGTCACTTGGTAAGATGTGAGGTTTCTGCAAAGTGCAGGGAACTGGAGAGAACTTAATGTTTTTAGGACCTGGTGAAAAGGAATATATTAAGTAATTCTTCATCCAGTAATGCAATCAGTGAGATGTATGAAAAATAAAAGGTGTGTGGTGTAAAACCAAAACAAAGTGTGCTTTTCATTGACTAGTTGCTCTATTGTGGGCCAAACTGTACGTTCTGTGTCGATCTGTGCTTCAGCTGACAGAGCTGAGACAAATCCAACATCCGAAGAAATACTGTTTTCAAGTAGAGATACAATCTGCATTGTGGATTGAGTGTGTGCATGTCATCTCTACTCGTGTGTACCTTGCTTTATCTTTCACATGATCTTCTCCACCCTTGACTCACACCCTGCTTGCCAGGTTACCTACAGACCTGAATCAGTGAATTACAGCCACAAACCTCACTTTCCAGTAGGTCTGTCCTTATTTTGCACAGATTAACCAAACCTGCCATACATACAGATGGGCGTGCAACCTTTCTGTTTTTAGTGGAACATATAAAGACATGTCTGATTATGACTTCCTTGTTTTTCTGAAATCAGATACATCGCTTTGTGCAGCAGTGTGAATGCCTGTGTGTTGATAAATGATCAGTTAGATCGCGGAGGAGTGCAACTCAGTTTCCCTTTTGTTCTGCACCTGACATGTAGACTTTGACCCCTGCTTTTATTTCTTCCTCTGACACGTCTGCTGTCCTCATGCGGTAGCTTTTTCTGGGTAAGAGATTTAATCAACATTATTTCTTAGTTTTGATTAGACCTCCTGCTGCTTCATATATGTATAAAATGTGCAGAATTTCTATTAGCAGACATGCCTGTGGATAAAGGTGCTCTAGTAGTTGAGACGAAATCCTTAAAGGTTGAGGAGAAAATCAATCTATAGTCATGCTACCAGCTCTGTGAGGCTGAATTAGACACAGCGTTTCCTTGAGCTAAAAGAGCTAACACCTGCATGCTAACATGCTCACAATGACAATGCTAAAATGCTGATGGTTAGTAGGTATAATGTTTACCAGATTTCATCAGTCATTGCAAAAACTGAACTGAATTTTCTGAAATGTGCAGTATGACTTTTTTACTAACTTTATTTATAACACTTGGATGATGAATCCTCCTTTCCTAACCACAGAATAAACAGGATTGATATATTGAAATAAGATCAAATGAAAGAAAAATACAAATAGAGAAAGTTGAGCCATTAAAATAATAATTAAGAGAAATAGTAGAGATATAATAATAGAGAAAACAAAGTTTTAGTGTTTTCCACAATGGGAGGGGATTTAGTAAAACAACATTTATGTATAGGCTATAGTATTTTGTTATGATGATGATATTGTTAATTAGAAATACAATCTGCTTGTTCTTCATAATGACTCCTAACTGGATTTAAAGAGAAGAAATCTATATGTATGGATTTGGGCTTCAGTCGATCAGACAAGGATTTCCATCAGTTCTGGATCGTGTCACAAAAATAAAACAGCAGCTCTGTTGTTTCTACATTCATGTGGGTCTCAGGGTTCGAATTACACTATAGCTTTCGGGGGAGCTCTATTTTCCGTTGTGCACCACTACTTCACATGTCATATACACATGCATACATATAAGTAGTGCGGTCAATAACAGGGTTACTGCGAAAGACATTTTACTATTACCAGGTTCAGGCCCAGGTTCGCTGCTGCAGGTGGTGGCGGTGATGGAGAATGGCAGGTCTGGGGAAAAACCATGGACTGAAGACAGCAGCTGAGGGGGACTGAGGAACACATCATGACACACCACTCTCATGACTATACAGTAAATACGAAGCCACAGCCAGCAACTGATTAAACTGCATTCATTTACATAATATATCTCTTTTGTTTTCTCCGTACAAACATGAAAACGTTTGCAGTCCACCACAGAACAGTTTTACATGTTACGCATTGAACACACAAGGTATAAGGTGTTAATCAGTGATCTTCAGAGGTTGGTAGATGGACTTTGTTTCCTTTGGACAGAGCCAGTCCAGCTGTTCCCCCCAGTCTTTAAGCTAAGAGAAGCCAACCAGCTGATGTCTGTGGCTTCATATTTACTGTACAGATGTGAGAACAGGATCAATCTCTTGGCAAGAAAGCGATGAAGTTTATTTCTGATAATGTGCAACTGTTCATTTAAAACCAGATGGAGATGTAATACACCTGCAGAGCGAGTATAAAGTTGAACTAAGATATCTTTTAATTGTACCTGTTCAGTGATTGTTTAACATTAACATTTAACATTTGACTTGTATACACACATCCATAAAATCTAGTACATGATAAATTACAATTTATTTATTGTGACCTGTAAGCTATATATTTTATCACACTGTAGAGCATAGCAATTATTTCCTTAAAGCTGCTAGTCAGTATATTTATATTGATAATGGGTCAAATGACTAGGTCCATGTGAAAAGTGTCACTTGTAGTAACAACTGAACAGAGAGATCAGGTCTGCAGTTCCCCTCAGCTCAATGGCTTCTCTGTCATTACACTGTCAGTGTTCCCAGCAGCAGCAGCTGTCTCTGTCAAACAAGCTCTGCTAAGCTACTGAGCCGCTAAACAGCACCAGACATGGTCCACACAGTGGTGCTAACGCAGACGCTTTGAGCTGCACAGGATTGACTTCACGCAACGCTGAGTTCTGGAGTGTGTCACCTGAAAAATCTTGCTGCAACGCAAGCACAAGTTATAGCATGAAACAACAAGAGCTTTTCCACTGTCACTCAAAACGTCTGTGGCTGGGCAGATTGACAAAGCTGTAAATGTACATGTTCATGTGCATCGGCAATATCTATGACACTCATTCATTCAGACAGGAGTACAACTGAAGCTGTATGTAGGGGAAACTGGGGACTGATTCATTCAGGCAAAAGATCAGGGCTGTATGACAAAACCACAGCTCATGGGAAAATACGTTTATTCCTTCAAAACAACAAATCACTAAACTCAATAAAGAAGCAGATGTTGAATGTGTTTTCCTAGTGGTGGTGATGGGGGTGGGAGAGGGGTTTAGCTGAGCATGTGCAGTATGAGTGTCATCACTCCTGCATGTTTCTGATTGGAGAAATAAGACTTGTTGGAAGTGTCCCTTGTTGCAACCGTCCCCAGTCTCCCCTACTGTGGTTATGGGAGTGCTCTGATTAGCTTCGAGGACTGAGGTTTATCACCTCCTCTGGTGCATAAGACTGCATGTTGAGTATGTTCACTGGGGTTTGTCTTCACAACTGCTGGATGGATTAAATTTGATGTAGACATTCATTTAGCTGTAAGCAGTAGTGGTTTTAAAGCTCCATATTGTCCTCTTCTGCTGTGTTTTATTTGAAATGTTGATCCATAAGATGATATATTTGTGGTT